ACACACACACACACACACACACACACACCTGAAACAGGAGTAAAAGACAGAGTGATGATTAAAACTAATGCAACACACAGATCTCTCACATGAAGCCTGTTTCTAAAGTAACATTCAAAAAACTACAGAATCAGACAGAATAAACTTGAAAACAACTGGTGACAAAATGGCTCCTGTTCACGTGTTGGGTCATTAATTTATATGCATTACTGTGTTTGCAGTGTTTTAATGGTGAAGAATATATATATATAATTTTCCTAATATCATTGTCTCAGGATCATGAGGTAATTATTTCAATATCTCAACATAACTAATAATAAACTAACTATTTGTTATGACACACTATGCTATGACTTCAACAATGGCTATTATTATTTATTTTATATTGTCAGTATTTTTTCTCTATGCTTAAATTTTATTTATTATTTCTTTTATTCATTTATGTATTTACTTTCTATCTATCTATCTATCTATCTATCTAAACATGTGAATTTGTTAGTTTTTGCTCCATTTATTTATTATTTAATTAATAATGTTCTTTATTGTATTCATTATTTTTGTTTATTCATTTATTTATCTTCCACTCTTGATGTGTTGGCCAGTCTCCTGTGGATGTGGGGCAGACTCAATTCAGATAACAACAAACTGTATGATTTATAATGTGTAAATGTTTTTAAAAAAACAACAACAATAAAAATATTTGAATATTTATAAGATGATCTACTGAAGTATACAGGTCCAAAATACATTTTCCAGAACATAATCTGTGTGCAGGAGCATAGTTATGAGTACATCTGGAAATATATCTCAAAATTAACTTCAGAATTCTAAATTTAAATACTGGCATCAAGCACCTATTTAAACAACCTCTGTTCATTCAAGATGTCATTTGTCCCGAAACTAAAAAACACAAATTTGCCCTCCAGACCGTTTTTCTTTAAAGCCTCTGTTTCGTTGCACAATTTACTTTAAAGATCAAAATTTTGGACTTTAATGATGTAAAAAGCTGCTTTTACCGTCAAACTATTTTCATCTTAACTTTCAAATTCACATGATAAGTCAACAGTCATATTTAAACACAACAACAGTCGTCTGTCAGCTCTGAATACACAGCAGGCCTATACTCTGCAGGTTTAATGCTTTTGGTTTACACAATAAATCATCTGCAGGACGAGTTATTAATTCCTTCATGAAGAAAATACCTGTGTTGAACTGAAACATGTAACTCACCGTGTGTGGATGAGCTTCCTGTCGTCAGACAGCGGTCAGACTGAAGAGCTGTCAGAGTGAATCCTCAACTCTTTGACCTCTGTGTTCAGCCTTGAGTTAATCATTGTTTCAGTGAACTAAGCGTGAGATAACATCTCAGATTATTAACCAACCAATAACAGATATTTCATGTCAACTAAACATGGCCTGTAAACTCTGGGATCAGACTAATTCCTGTAATCAAATGACGTTTTAAGAGAGTTCCCCTTTTTCACGGTTTCAGTTTCATGTGTGAAAAGCCACACATACAGAGTGAAGTTCCACAAAAGGCAAAACCTCAGTGACGGAACAACTGGTTCCTGGAAATAAATTCAACTCAGATAAAGTTCCACTAGATGGCAGCAAAGTGTTGTCAAGCTTAGAGGACAGAGACAAAACATTAAAGTGTATATATTCAGTGGAATAAAGATGGTAGGTATATACAGTTTAATTTGGCCTGAATATTTAGTTTGCTATTAGATATAATGTCAATAAAATGTCCAAAAAATATTTCGAAAAAAATGTCTGAACAATATGAAAAAAAAGTCTGAAAAAATATTGAAATGAAATGTTGGAAAAATATAATAAAATGACTGACAAAATATTAATAAAATGTCCAAAGAACATCAATAAAATTTCCCCCAAAAAAATCAATAAAATGTCAGAAAAAAATATAAATAGAATGTCAAAAAAAAAAATCAATTAAAGGTCCAAAAAATGTTAATAAAATATCCAAAAACTATCTATAAAATGTCAGACAAAAATATTTTTAAAATGTCTGAAAAAAATGTTAATATAATGTCCACTAAATATTGATAAAATGTCCGAAACAATATCAATAAAATGTCATAAAAAATATTAATAAAATGTCCAAAAACTTTCAGTAAAATGTCCGAAAAAATATTTTAAAAAATGTAGAAAAAATCAATAAAATGTCCGAAAAATGTTAATAAAATGTCCAAAAACTATGAATAAAATGTCCAACAAAAATATTATTTAAATGTCTGAAAAAAAAGTTATTAAAATGTCCAAACAATATCAATAAAATGTCCAAAAATATTAATACAATGTCCAACAAAAATATTATTAAAATGTCTAAAAAAGTTAATAAAATGTCCAAAAACTTTCAATAAAGTGTCTGAACAAATATTAATAACATGTAAAAAAAAAATCAATAAAATGTATGAAAAATGTCAAAATACTAAAATTATCAACAATATGTCCAAAAAATATGAATAAAATGTGCGATAAAAATACCATTTAAAAATGAAAAATAATATTAATACGATGTACTGCTAAAACAGAAAAAATACAAATAGAAATGAGTATGTGTGTACTATGTTAAAGCTAATATTATTCAGAAATTATTTTTCATTAACGAAATTAGACAGTTTGTAATTATTGAACTATATTTATGTTTATTTGCCTGTTATTGGTTGTGTTTTGCTGTATTTTGTAGCAAACGTTCATTGTGAATGTTTAATATGTATCACTATGTGATTTGTTTTTAAGTTGGTGTTTATAAACCTTGTGTGAAAATCACTTAAAATATTCTTAATATAACTTTAGGGACTTGTGTTTGTCTGCTTTTCTGTACTCTAAGTTCACAGGAGTTTTATTGCATCTTCTTCCTCACTTCCTCCGCCTCATTATTCGTCTCCTCTTCACAGCTCGCTAAGCCGTCTGCTTTCATTTCATCACGTTAGCTGGAGTTCCTGCTGAAGGTGTTGTTTTCCATCCGAACTGCATCAAACTGTGCTCGGACCTGAAATAAAACACACATTGTGTAAATTATAAGCACAATATTATTTTGATTAAGATGAATTTATTTGTCTAAAACGACGTCCGACTTAATAAAGTGCGGAGAGCCAATCAGAGCTGAGTACAGTGATGATGAGTGGGGTTTTTAATTACCCATATCAGAGCAAAACAGACTTTTTTTTTCTCACAGCAACCTGACAGTGCATCAGTGACACCTCACTGTTTGGGAAATGTCTCATAATCAAAGTTGACAGAGTGAGAAAAGCAAACGCTGAAGGTTTAGAGGTCGTGCTGTCCTCTGACCTCCAGTATGGAGGTGTAACTGTCCCTCGGTGAGGCCCAGCAGCCTGTGTTTTGACTCAAAGTGAGGCCAGGACCATCTGCCAAACAACATCTTTGCTAAACCTCCTGAATTCACACTCTGACTGACATATACTGCATTTTTATTTTTTTCATTTATTCATTGAACTTTGAAAGGACCCGAGAGGGTGCCCTGGGGAACTCCTTTAAAATAAAGTCATGACCCCGAACACTAGTTGCGTATTTGCTGTTTACTGGATCTGAGGAACTACCTGTAAAACTCTGAAATGAAATGTCCCAATGTCTTGATGAAAATATGGTTGCCACAAACACGATTGGTTAAATAATACCTAGCTTCATCGCCACAGACATGGCAGGAAATGTTTCAACCTTGTTTAAAAAACTACTCAATTTGGTCGCTACAAACATGACTGGAAATATCACTATGTCTCTTTAAAAATACTCAGTTTGGTTGCCACACAGCTGGAAAGGTCTCAACTCGTCTTGTTAAAAAAATACCCTGTTTGGTCATCACAAACAGGGCTGGAAATGCCCTAACCTCTCGGTTTGATCACCATAAACATGACAGGAAATGTCCTGGCATCTTGTTAAAAATCACTCAATTTGGCCGCCACTAACACAGCTGGAAAGGTCTCAACATCTTGTCAAAGAATATCAGGTTTGGTTACTAGAAACACAGCTGGAAATGTCCCAATCTAGAGAAAAAATACCGTTTGTTCGGCACAAACACAGCAAGAAATGTCCCAACCTCTCATGAAAAAAATACCGAATTTTGACGATACAAATGCGGCAGGTATGTCCCAGCATCTCATTGAAAATAGCCCACTTTGGCCGCCACAAACACAGCTGAAAAGGTCTCAACATACTGTTAAAAAATACCGGCTTTTGTTACCACAAACATGACTGGAAATGTCCTAACTTCTCATTAAAGGCACCCAATTTGATTGCCACAAACACAGCAGGAAATGCCCCAACCTCTTGTTAAAAAATACCCGAATTGGTAGCTACGAACACAACAGGAAATATCACCATGTCTCTTTAAAAAGACTCAGTTTGGTCACCATAAACATTGCTGAAAATGTCCCAACCTCCCTTAAAAAAATACCTGGTTTGGTCGTCACTACCACGGCTTGCAATATCCTGACCTCGTGATAAAAATACCAGGTTTGTTTGCCACAAATGCAACTGGAAATGTCCCAACATCCTGTTAAAAAATACCAGGTTTTGTTACCACAAACACAGCAGAAATTGTCCCAACCTCTTGTTAAAAAATACCCAATTTGTTTGCTACAAACACGACTGGAAATATCACCATGTCTCTTTAAAAAGACTCAGTTTGGTCACCATAAACATGGCTGAAAATGTCCCAACCTCCCTAAAAAAAATACCTGGTTTGGTCGCCACTAATACGGCTTGAAATGTCCTGATCTCTTGATAAAAATACCCAGTTTGTTTACGACAGACACAGCAGAAAATGTCCCAACATCTTGTGAAAAAAATACCTGGTTTGGTTGCCATTAACACAGCTGGAAATGTCCTGACCTGTTAATAAAAAATACCCGGTTTGGTCGCTACAAACGCAACTGGAAATGTCCCAACCTCTCATTAAAAAATACCCAATTTGACTGCAACAAACACAGCTGGAAAGGTCTAAATATCTTGTTGAAAAATACCTGGTATAGTCACACAAACTTGGCTGTAATGGCCCAATCTCTTGTTAAAAAATACCCAGTGTATTCGCCACAAACACAGCTGGAAATGTCCTGACCTGTCAATAAAAAATACCCAGTTTGGTCTCCATAAAAGCAACTGGAAATGTCCCAACCTCTCATGAAAAAATACCTGATCTGGTTGCCATAAACCGGCTTAAAATGTCCTGACCTTGTGATAAAAATACCCGGTTTGTTTGCCACAAACACAGCAGGAAATGTCCCAACCTCTCGCAAATTTGGCCACTACAAACACAACGGGTATGTCCCAGCATCTCATTAAAAATAACCCACTTTGGCCACCACAAACACAGCTGAAAAGGTCTCAACATCTTGTCAAAAAATACCAGGTTTTGTTACTACAAACATGACTGGACATGTCCTAACTTCTAATTACGGAAGTACCCAATTTGATTGGCAGAAACACGACTGGAAAAATCACAATGTCAGTTTAAAAGTACTCAGTTTGGTCTCCACAAACACGGCTTGAAATGTCTTGACCTCCTGATAAAAATTCTTGGTTTTATTGCCACAAACACAGCAGAAAATGTCCCCACCTCTCGTGAAAAAATACCTGACCTGGTTGCCACAAACACAGCTGCAAATGTCCTGACCTGTTGATTAAAAAATACCCGGTTTGGTCGCTACAAACGCAACTGGAAATGTCCCAACCTCTCGTGAAAAAATATCTGGTTTGGTTGCCATTAACACGGCTGGAAAGGTCTTAACCTCTCGTTAAAAGTACCCAATGTGGTTGCCACAAACAAAGCAGGAATTGTCCCAACCTCTAGTTAAAAATTACCTGATTCGCTACAAACACGGCTGGAAATATTGCTATGTTGCTTGTTAAAAATACTCTCCTCATCACTTGCATTAGAAGTAAATCACAAAGGAATCTCTCCTTTGCCAGTATTAACAGCATGAATGATTACAAAGCATTGTCCCTTCACGCTTCATGTAGATGAGTCCATATAAGCCTTGAAACTATAGATCCGCCTCACTGACTCAGCTCACTGCTGACATGCCCTTCAGGAAAGCTTTAGTAGAAGTGCCCTTTAGGTCAAGCTGATTGACCTTTGACCCCATTCACCCGCTCTCTAAGTTTTCATTATCAGGTCATGGTTGTTTTCCACAAGAGCTGGAAACAATAGCTGCAAATTAGCTTGTCACAACTTCTCTGCGACAAACGGTCGCAAACAAAACAACCAGAAAACAGATTTTTACCACAACTGCACTCTTTAAAAAAACTGTCATTTCACAGACATCAGCACAAGTTGGTGTTTAGAGAAAGCTGAGCAGGCAGACGTGTTTAAAATGACTCAAGGTTTTTAAGAGTGCAGAAGCAATATGTTTGCAAGATGTTTGGGTTTGCATTGTAGCCGCTGACATGCCTCTTGTATGTTCTGCCCTTGTTTTTCTCACAGTAAAGGAGGATGTGTGACATCTGGAAGTGCTCAGGAGGCAGGACTGAAACTTCCCCCCTTGTCGTTTCTCAGGGCACCAACATCAAAGGAGGCAGCAGATAATGTTTTCTCTCCTGTTCAGGCACTTCAGCAAGGAGCAGCCACCACTGCAGTCTCAGACCAGGGGGGTTTTCGGGAGGTTCCCGAGAGTCTAATGTGGATGATATGGCACTTCTGAACACATGCAGGACAGGTGTGAAAAGGTTGAGAGTTACAGGACAAATTGAGGTTTTAGTACAGCAGGCAGAATGACAGGAGAGTTTAAGTTTATGTCCCCAGTGTCCTGTGGGAGGTTTCTAGGTTTCCAT